GGTTTAGATTTTAGGTTTTATAGGGTCTAGGGTTTGGGGTTTAGGTTTTAGAGTTTAGGGTTTGGGGTTTAGATTTTAGAGTTTTCAGGTTTAGGGTTTGGGTTTTAGGGTATAGGGTTTGGGGTTTAAGTTTCGGGGTTGAGGGTTTGGGGTTTAGGTTTTAGGGTTTATAGGTTTACGTTTTGGGGTTTAGGGTTTGGGGTTTCTTCGGCCATGGGTCCTCTAAGGGTGCTTTTTAAGGGCTTTAGAAGGGTTTTTTGAGGGCTTGAACAGGCAAGCTTGCAGCCCGAAAGCCTGTAGCACTAAAACCCTTAGCCCTGAGACCAAATCCTCAAACCTTGAAGCCTCAAACTTAAAGCTTTAAACCCTAAGCTTAAACTTTTACACCATGAAAATCCACAGCCCCTAAACCCTAAGCCCTACACCTCCCGCTGCAGCCGGATTCCCGAAAGCCCTCCTAAACCCTAAATCCCGAAGGCTGATCCCCAAAACCCTCGACCCGAAACTTTACATTTACACCCTGAATCCTGAACCCTAAGGCCCTAACCCCTGAGCCCTAAAGCCTAAACCCTGAACCCTGAACCTATGGGCCCTTCTCCAAAGGCTTATCCTCAAGCCTAGTTATCCCAAAACAACCCAGAGAGCCCAATACTTTGCATCCTGGTATTCAGCGCCCTATACTTAAGATATACTCCGTATAGGAAATTTTGGGCAGGCCCTCCTCCAAAGCCCTAGAAACCCCTATCACTCAAACCCCCTGAACCTAAACCCCTAAACCTAAGCCCTAATCCCTCAGCCCTAGACCCTAATCCCTAACCCCCACATCCTTTACCCTAAATCCCCTAGTTGTCCCAAAAAAGGGCCCTCCTGATAGATCCCTTAAAGGGAGCCCTAAACCCATGTAGATCCCTCAAGGGAGCCCTAAACCCTTGTAGATCCCCTGACAGGGCGCTAAACCCTCAAAGCAACTCTAAACCCTCATCGATCCCTCAAAGGATCCCTAAACCCTTAGAGGAAGCCAGAGGACCCTTTTAAAAGGAACCCTCAAAGGACCCTTCTTAAAAGGACCCTTTTTAAAGGTACCCTTAAAGGGCCCTTTGTGAAGGTACCCTTAAAGGGCCCTTTGTGATGGTACCCTTAAAGGAGCTCCAGGATGCACTTCGCGCCTGCACCGTCGAGCAGCTGCGGGAGCAAAACCTCACGCGCGAGGAGCGGTGTTTGGGCGGATAGGGGTTTATAGGGGCTGTTTTGGATTACTATAGGGGTTTTAAAGGGTTGTAGAGGGTTTCATAGGGGTTCACAGGGTTTTCTATGAATATGGATGTATAAGGGTCCAATAGATTTTTATAGGATTTAGGGTGTAGGGCCAGTGTAGGGTTCAGGGTTTTAGGGCTTTGGGTTAGTTTTGGGCTTGAAGAAAGAGGTTTTTAGATGGCTTCGTAAGTTTTATGCGGTTGGAAACGGTTGGAAGGGCCGTGCCGGGTTTATAAAACGTGGTTTTCGGTGAGTTTAAGTTTTTCGTTGAAAGGCATGCCGTTTCGATTTAAAAGCCATTCCTTCCTCGTTCAATCACATGGTTCGGGGACCGCTGAATTCAGAGATTATGTTTCCTTTAATCATATTAAAGACGCTTCTATGCTTGAAAGGACATTCCTTCTTTGAGCGTTTTATGGGGCTCTTTGGGTAGCAGAGTTTGGGGGTTTCGGGTGCAGGGATTTCGTGTTGAGGGCTTTCGGGCGCAGCGCTCTTGATTCTGGTTGGGGGTATAGGGTTTGCGGTTTTGGGGCGCTGTGTTGCGAAAGGCTATGTCTTCATGGGTGTCTAGGGCCAGGGCCTCACGGTCCCATGTCCCTAAACCCTAGGCACTCATGTTTGGGTCTCAGATATAATTACGTGGGGCTAAGATTCTATGCGCAGGGATTCAGAGCTGGGTTCGATGGCCCAGCATTCTCATGACTGGTCCTTCAAACCCCGCAATCCTCAATCCCCGCACTGCAAAAACGAAGGACTTCGACTCTCTCATCCGGGATGTCTTGCTACTGGGGGATGGCGAATACCGCCGGCTCTGGCGCTTCATCATGGAGCTGACCCTGGGCTTAAGGCTTGAAGTTTTCTGAAAGTATGGTCACTACACTAGTCTTCAGCAGTGTGGTTGTCTTGTTGCTACCACGACGACGACGACGACGACTACTACTCATTCCGAACTAGTTGTTTCTGGACATCTTAGTCTTGAGGCTAGGTTAGTTCGTTAGGAGTTTGCATCGAGCTGTCTTGCTACCAAGCCTTGCTTCCACTTAGGGTCCTAGCCTGCAGGGTTTAGAGCACGAGTTTGGACTCCATAGCCTAGCATGTCATGCAGCCCGTCGAGAAGTGAAAGCTTTCGTTCGTGGCGCCCGTATACAAACAGCACACCCTCAACCCCAAACCCAAATCCACTAAACCCTATCAGAAGCAGGCTTCCTAGATCTGCGAAACACAAATCCTTGGCTGATTGGAGGCAAAAGCCCCATGAAATGCAGAGAAAGAGAAAGAGAGAGAGAGAGAGAGAGAGAGCACAGGTGAGCATCAAGAGGGGAGCGTTTAGGGTGCCCCCGCGAAGCCTAAAAGAAGCACGAAACAAGAGCCCTGAACCCCAAACTCATTCCCGCCCTCAGCCTGCTGTGCCCTAGTGCCCCAGTCGGATTGCATGCGAGTCAGTGCCCAGGCAAGAGCAGACCCCTCTTCCAAAAGCCTCGAGCTCGAAGAGCAAAGCAGCGCCTGCTGCAAAGGCGCTCTCGAGCTTTGCGATTTTCCGCTGTCTTGTTGAACCTGAACACAAAGCCCTACTGTAGGGGGCGTAAATAACTACCTATACTATTTTGGGGGTTCCTTAGTATAATATACTATAATGGGCCCCAAAACCCGATTCTAAGTATTAAGGCCCCTACATTAAACTCCAAACCGTTGCTTGCACCTAGAGGCTGTTGGAGGCCCGTGAGCAACAGCGTTTTTTGTTCAGAAGGGTCGGTTTCATCACCAGACATCACAGGGTGCATGATGAAGGTGACGGTGATGGTGACGTCGAACAGGCGGGACGACGACGACTTAGAGGAGGAGGCGGAGGAGGAGGAGGAGGAGCATGGAGGAAAGTGAAGTGCATGTGCAAGCTGGACAGTGTTCATTGAATAGGTCTCGTGATAATCGTATTTCCATTATGCAGCCATCATCGCTTCTTGCCCACACAGTGGCAGCAGATAACATACAACCCTAAACCCTGAACCCTGAACCCTAAACCCTGAACCCCAAACCCACAAGCTCCCAAAATAAAAAGCTCTCCCGGGGCCCAGAACCTCACAGGCCCAAACCACCGACCTTTCAGCCCTCCTCCCGAGAGATCTCAATGCCCCTCAATGAAGAAATGCTGCGGGGGCTGAATATAATATGGTTAAAATAGGTATTTTCCTTAATTAGGGAATAAATAAAAATATATATATATATATATACATCTTAAACTATCGAGGGCTTAAGATTATGCTTTACGGTACACGAAACCCTAAACTCCAAACCCTCAACCCTATTCCTTAATTAAACCCTAAACCCTAAACCCTACCTTAATCCCAAATAACCTACCTTTTGAAGGACTTATACAAGGAAATCATCATAAGGAACCCTAAAAAGGTAGGTTCTTTAGGGTCCAGGTATTCCTTAATTCTGGGGGGGTTTTGGGCTCTCTAGGCCTCAACCTACCTTTTGAAGGACTTATATACGGAAATCATAATAAGGAACCCTAAAAAGGTATTAGGGTCCAGGTATTCCTTAACTAGGGGGGTCTTGGGCTCTTTGGGCCTCATAGCCTCCGCCCAGGCGCTCATGGCGATGCCCCGCCCCAAGGGTGGCAAGGGGCAGCGCAAAGGCGGCGCGGTGCAGGAGAAGAGCCTGTGGGCAACTTCCCTCACGAGTTTATGGCTGTACGTATGTGCAATCAAATATATACATGTATAGAGAGAGAGGTGTGTGTGTGTGTGTATATATATATATGTATAAACAACATTCCTGCATCCTGAGTAAGTTCTGCGTGCTTCCGCACCCGTCATCTGTGTCTCTGTGTTTCTGTATGCATATGTATATATATATATATACATATATAGATAGATAGATATGTATGTATATGCACACACCTACACATTAAACCCTAAACCCTAAACCCTCCATCCATCCATACATCCATACATACGAGAGTGCTGCAGGAGCGAGCCGCTCCTGATGAGATCGATGGCCTCAGCCTGATTTTCCACCAGGCCGGGGCCCAGAGAGCCCATCACTTACCCCTTAATTGAGGAACATACCCTAAATCCTAATTCTTAAGCCCACCTATAATTTAAGGTATAGTCCTTAATTTAGGGAATGTGCCTTAAATTATCAGGGGCCTTAAGATATGACTTGAGGTATGCTCTTTTGCTAAGGAAGATACCTTAAGGTGATTCAAGGTATATTCCTTAATTAAGGAATATACGTTGAATTGTACGTAGGGGATTACGGGGTTTTAGGCTCTCTGGGGAGATTTCAGATTGAATGGTTTAGGGTTGCAGGATCCGTTGGAAGGGTTTTGGTACGGGTGTCATCAGTGCGTTAATCGGGCTCTAGTTTTAGATGCGTATTATTTGTTCTAGCACCTGGGATCAGGGTATATGCTCTCTTGAAACTCTACTTCTGGTAGACTTGATGATCCCCCGACCCTTTGATTAAATGGTTCAGGCATGTAGGGCTTAGGGGATATAGGGTTTAGTTATGATTATGGCTTTGGCATTTAGGGTTTAGGGTGTTCAGGGTTCAGGATCGAGGCTCCGGCCTCGTCTTTACTACCCAAACCTTTACCTTAACCCCAAAATAACCTTCCTTTTGAAGGACTTGTAGAAGGAAATCAGAATAAGGAGCCCTAAAAAGGTAGGTTCTTTAGGGTGCAGGTAAACTCTGAACTTTTTGACTTCAAATTCGTAGCCGTGCCTGAGACGCGGCGCTCGGTGGCAAACACTAGCGGCTCGTGCTGCGGTTGCCATCACCATTAGGTTTAGGGTTTAGGAATAAGGTCACTGTAGCGCTTTCTTGTTGTAGCCTTGCCTATTGTGAGTATGGTAGAGTGTTCCCTGAAACCCAAGTTTCATGTGAAGGCCCCCTACATAAGGGGCCTGCGTCGAGTTTCGATGTATCCTGCTTGTGACGACCTTGTGTATGTTCCTTGAAGACCTGCATCAAGGCCAGATACACACTTATGACATCTTCTAACCCCTGCGGGAACCTATCTTAGTTTCGCAGCACCGTAAACCTCGAACCCTTGACGGGCTTAGAGTAAACCTGTTATCCTAATTACTAAACCCAATGAAAGTCTCTAAGACCCTATACAAGCCCTAACCCTAAACCCTAAACCCTAAACCCTATAAAAGCCCTAAATCCAAGCAAACAGGACCTCCCAGAGCCAGCGTTCTTGCTCGTGGCACCCTGGCCAATGCGAAGAAAGAGTAGCACCGGGGGTTTGGGGATTAGGGCTTAGGTGCGGGGCTGAATATTTAGGCAGACTGTTAATAATACCATAGCATAAGATAACTAGTAACTACAGTGCAGAACACATCAGGTGCCTGAATAGTCAGAACAAGTGGCTTGTGGGGGTGTTTTAGTTTTGCTGTCAAGTATTTAGAGGCTTAAGAAATAGAGCACGTAGTAGAGTTCAATAACGGAAGCCTGGCAACAAGGTGCTGACTGATTCAGGCTTCCTGTTGGTGAGCCGTTACGGGCTTATTAGAGGCTGATGGTCTTTACGGGGGTTCGCGGTTGAGCATTTAGGGGTTTTGGAAGGGTAGTGTCAGGCCGACCTAAATAATTACCTATACTATTTTGGAGGCTCCTAAATTATAATCCTAGTATACTAATAACCCAAAACCCTATTCTAATTATTTAAGCCCCTGTATTACAGCTTTTGGGGGACTGCAAACTTGGAAGGTTCTGGAATTACCCAGCCTTTCGGCCTTTCTTCTGAAACTCTGAAACCTTAACCCGAAACTTACCAGTTTATTTCGTTGCTTTATTGGGGAAGTAAGCAAAAGAAGTGTGAGAAAGACTTTTGATACTCAAGGCCCCAGACATCTTTCGGGTTGATGGTGCAAGGGTTTAGGGCGCAGAGTTTCGGGTTTTAGGGTTTGGCTTGGTAAACCCTACACCCTAAACCCTATAAGCCCTAAGCGTTTAGGGCGCAGGGTTTTGGGTTTTAGGGTGTGGCTTGGTAAACTCTAAATCCTATAAGCCCTAAGCGTTTAGGTTGCAGGATTGTGGGTTTTGGGGTGTGGCCTGGTAAACTCTAAACCCTATAAGCCCTAAGCGTTTAGGGTGCAGGGTTTTGGGTTTTAGGGCTTGGCTTGGGGCTCAATCTTCCGGGCTTGGTGATAAACGTCGGAGACTTAAGATGTCAATAGCTTTCCTTGACCCTCCAGGTACCTACTATATAGGGCCTTAGGGGCTCTAGTACCCTATATAGTAGATATCTGGGGGGTTAGGGTTTCCTTACAAAAACAGGCGAAGCCCAGAGAATCCCAGGCATAGCCATACCTGTCAAGCTAGGAATGTCATTTGCATTGGCAACTGTAATATTGTCCAGGGTATACCCATAGGCCCCATAGTAGTTCCTTTTTGGTGGTTCATGTCTAGAATCCTATAAGGTAATCACAAAAAGGAACTAATATGGGGCCTATGGGTATAGTGCTGACATCGTCGTACATCGAACCTCAGTGATATCATGTCTGGGCTCAGCATGCCAACCATTTGCCTTGTTTTGTTCATGTCATTTTGGCGGAACAGAGAACCCGAACTACGAAAACTTACCCTGTTTGGTCGGGTTCCTAGAAATTCTATATCCGGGTTTATAACAGGATATTACAAAAAGTAGGTTATGGTACCCGAAACCCTAAACCCTAAACCCAGTTTAAGGTAGGGGGGTCAACCCTAAGGCCTAAATTGGCTGCCAAAGCACTGGACCAGGTCCGGTTCACCTACGGCCTGAGGTTGGGCAGTCACTGAGACAGCCGTTTTTCGGCCTAGACGTGAGCTTAGGCCCTAAACCCTAAACTCCTAGACCATCCTAAAATCCTAAACACATTTGAGCCTTATACATGTCCGAAACTTGGACACTTCAACGTCAGCTTCTACAGTTCGAGCTCGAGCATTTAATCATGCTCCCCTTGCCCTACGTACCGGGTGACCACCAAGAGCGCAACCACACCCTAAAACCTAAACCCAGCAACCCCTAGACCCTCAAACCCAACAACCCTGAGTCCAAAGCCTTCGAACTTTGCTGTGGCACCCGAGACTCGTTCGAAGCTGTAGACCTTGCCTACGGTTGTGATTCAAGTGCATTTAGGACTTAAGGGAAAGGGGTTTAGGGGTTCTCGAAGGCAACAGTCACTTGTTGCAACTAAAGACACATTCCTGCACAGGTTTTGCTTCTCAACAGCTTTTTCTTTATAAGGTCCGGTTACGGCACTCGTGTCTGTAGGAGTTCATTGACATGACGACCTTGGAAGACACCTGATTATATGAGAGCCAGCATGGCCCCCATGTGTCAAAAGCTCACGTTCGGCCCTGCTGTGTTGACTTGAGCAATGTAGAAAGGTGTGCAAGCTCGGCTGTGATGGATATGCTTGGATCCATCCAGACGGAAAACGACGTGCTGGATGTGCACATGTGGGATGTCGTCTTGAGGTGATGCAGTCTCCTACATTCTAAATCCCTATAAATCCCAGACGTCCATAAGTCGGAGTGTGTGGTGGTTCATTCTCGCTGGAAGGACATGAAGTCTTCTTTGCGCGAGCTGGTGGCAGGACTTTCTGTACAGTGAAGGTTGTGTGTATCAATTTATTCGAGTATATTGGTATATATATATATACATACATATATAGTGGTTCGGGACATTGCAGGCATTAACCATGTTGTCCGATACTGCAAGCTGTCAAGAGGCGTGTTTGTCCACGTGAAAACCTAGACCTCGGCACCACCAACACAAACTCGAAACGCTCAACCCGCCAAACCGCCTCCTAAGCGGTAACTCCATATAGACCCTCAGCCGCATTCTCCTGCGCTGCAATGGCGAAGCTTGTCACACATCAAGATTTCTTGATAAACAATATACCGTAAATCATGGTAAGAATCTCGGCAAGTTCGGGTGAGATCTGCGCAGGAACCCCCTTAGTGCCAGAAAAAGTATATCTCTATAGGTGCCTGCACCCTTATATGGTCTTAGCCACTGAGGGTGTCTCTGTCTAAGGCAGACTCTAAGACGAAGCAGGCCAATGAATGCTAGAGGCCTCGCACCAGCAGGCAGAAACCGCAAGCGGTTGAACCAAGAGGGTTTATGTAGGGCTTAGCGTTTTGGGATGTGTTAGGGTTTGATTTAGGTGAAGTAGCCCAAAATCCGAGCGAGGAGATGCGATGCAAAGCTCACAGCATCTCCGCATCCTTGAACCTTAGCATTGGGGGGGGGGGGGCCGAGAGTTCTTCACCCAAATGAGCCCTAAGTAGCTACATTGGGGTTTCCTACCATAATGAAGAGTGTTAGTTCCTACTACAGGAACCCTACGTCTTCTAGTATACAGGTACTTCGAACCCTTTGGGTCAGACATCTGCAGGAAGAGTTTGCGGCTCATGATTTGCTGATTTCCGTGGACGCATCGTGCTCGAGCTTGAGCGAAATGATTTGGAGGAGAATGTGACCAGCTCCCGAACGATTACATCTGCGTGGAGTTCGGAACTGCCAAAAATATTCAACCTCTCATGCAATGTCGTCTTCGACGTAACAGCTCTAAATGTGGCTCTAACCCTAAACCTTAGAGCCTAAACTCTTAAGATGTTAAGACTCGATCGCCCCAAACCCTAAACCCTGAAGGGCCCAGCCCTGAAGTCGTCAGAAGGCTGTCCAACAGGGCTTACAGGGTTGCTAGTTTAAGTACTAATATGGGGGTTTAGGAGTCTAGGCTTTAGGGTTTAGGGTTCATAAGGCTTCGGATTGCGCTTCCTCTTTCAAGGTCCGGAAGTTCGAGACCCTCAATTGTACTCTTAGTTTGTCGGCTACCTTTTCTTCTTGCTTTGAAGGTCCTAAGCCATGAAACAGGTTGTCCCAACAAGGGTGCTACATTCCAGGATTTGGCGATGATACCTAGCTTAAGTGTGGCAGCCCTGAGTAGCTGAGGAACTCTGTGGCGGTGTGGGCGTTATCGGCATGAGCCTCGCTGATGCGGTAGCGAAGATGGAGGCCCCATGTTGTGAGGGGTGCAGGATTGCACATGTTCAGGGTTCAAAGATCGGTTCTGAAAGTTAAGAGGCGTCCATAAGGTTGGTTGGTGTACATGGTGTTGTGGAAGGATCAGGTAGCCCTACTTTACCTACCTACTAAGTCCCCCTGCTCTCCACTTAGGGTTTTGCGGTTTAGGAACCTTCAGCTCCTAAACCCTAAACCCCNNTAAACCCTAACCCCTAAAACCTGAACTCTTTTGGAGGATTGATCTTGTAACGGAGCCCAATGAGGTCCGAAGCCTCAGAGCCCCCGGATGTCTTCCACTCCGTTATCGACTGAGAGATCCATGTTTAGGGTTTAGGGTTTA